TCATTTGGCTGGAGCTTCAGGAAAATAGCTAAATGAACGTATCTATTTATGTGTTCATTCATTGGTTCAGAGCTGAACCCTGTCCTGTCCTGCGCAATCCTCACCATCTCCGATACACTTGAGCCTGTTGTTACAGTCACTGTGTCAATCCATCTTGCTGAAAGCCTTCCCCTCAGTGGAACAACCCCCTTTCCAAGGATAATGCCGTTCTTCAAAGACTGATCCCCCCTCAAGATATACCCAAAGCATATGATATAAAGCATAGGGTCACCATGAGTCACAGTCGACTCAGCAGCACATAACATTGGTTCAATAAACATTCATTAAGAACTGTAGTGTGTCTGTCCTGTGCTGAGCCTTGAAGGTGGGAAATAAATAAACCAGATAGTTCATGCCCATGAGAAGTCAGCAGATTATTTAGAAGGTATCTTGAAGGAGCTCTGGTGGCATAGTGACAGAGAGTTGTGCTGCCAACCCAAAGGTAGGCAGTTCGAATCTACAGCTGCTTCTTGGGAGGAAGATGGGCAATTGACTCCTGTGCATTTTACAGCCTCTGAAACCTTGCTGGAGGGTCAGCTGTGAGTCAGCTCTGAGTTGTTTGTTCTCTTGGAGTAGTAGGGGTATCTTTGAAGGGTTTGCTAATTTTGGGTGATTGTTGGGTGACATAATTATTTGAGGTGAAAGATGTTCTTTTTTTCAAGTTCCAATTTATTACAAACGGATTTATTTAGTTAAAGCACAAAAAGTTCACATATCTTCCTTAATAGCTTACAATCAGCAGTGTATATATGATCACTATAAATTTATTAACATCTCTAGATGCCTATTTTTAATTTCCCATTCTTAACACAGACTCAGTGAATATTGTTTGCAAATAGCACTGGTCTGAAGACTGCACTGCTCCGAGAACAGATCTCTGTTACTGGTGATCAGAGAAGGGTTGGATGGAAGCAGAGTCCAGTGGGGAGTCTCTTTCTCTGCTCTTGGCAAGGGATGGTGTGGTCTGGAGTGGGATAACTGGAAATAAGACTTCAGAAGTTAAGCCACACATACAGTGAAGGGGAGTGATCAAATGTCAAAGTAGAACTTAAAGGTGCTGCTTGGGTTTTTGGCTTAGGTATAGATGACAGTGACCGAGATCTAGACTGGAGGAGATTAAGTTTGAGGGGTGATGAGTCCAGTATTGAATTTGTTAACGTTTGAAGTCTATTTGGTCCTCTAATAGGTGTCCACAGAGGCAGTTGGAAACCAAGTCTTAAAACTAGACCAGGTGTAGTCTTGCAGGAAAGCTTCCCTGGTCCAGTATCAGTATAGCTTTATTCCTTACTTGATTCTGCCTGTCCGCTCCAGCTGGCGGTGGTGTGTTTGTCTAGGGGTGGGGGGTGGGGGGAGAAGAAGGGAGTCACTTAGGCAAGGGAGCTTGTGTGACCCTAATCAACTCAGGATAGGGTGCAAGTCTTACTGTCACCACTGGGTGGCAGTAGTGCTCCAGTCAAGAGTAGCATGGACTCGGGTAGCCCCAACTTTTTTCTAGGCTGTCTCCAAGTATTTAGCCATCAGGTTTACTCCACATTGACATGTAGGGCCCCAGAGAGGTACTTACATGGGATAGGAGCCCGTGTCCTACTACTAAGGCTCTAGAGTAGCAGAGGTCTTGCAGTTGCTTTGGGAATGAACACATAAAAGGCTTTAGTCTCAGAGCTGTCAGAGCCTCTAGTCATAGATTCTTTTCTGCAGGTTACTGTCATACTGCTCCCTGCAAGATGTAAGGCAGGTTTTTTGCATCTGTCCCATTCAGGGATTAGTTCTAAGACAGGGGCTGTGGTTGGAGGGGGCTGGAGCCCACCAGCCGAGGCATGATGGAAGTATGCCCCCACCATGTCCCTTCTCTGCCTGCAGACTGTGCAGGTCCCTGTATATTCAGAGCAGGAGTACCAGCTCTATCTCCACGATGATGCCTGGACTAAGGCGGAGACCGACCACCTCTTTGACCTCAGCCGCCGCTTTGACCTGCGTTTTGTAGTTATTCATGACCGCTATGACCACCAGCAGTTCAAGGTGAGCTGATGTCATGTGTTTGCATGACAACACATTGGGGGTGTACACAACCCCTAAGCCTGGGAGGCTTGTTACCTTCCCATCACCCCTTCTGTGTTCCCCTGCCTGTTCATCTCATCTGTACCTTAGAAACGTTCTGTCGAAGACCTGAAAGAGCGGTATTACCACATCTGTGCCAAACTTGCCAATGTACGGGCTGTGCCAGGCACAGATCTTAAGATACCAGTATTTGACGCGGGGCATGAGCGACGACGGAAGGAACAGCTGGAGCGGCTATATAATCGGACCCCAGAGCAGGTCAGCACAAGCCCTCGTACTTCTTGCCTGAACCCCTCCACTGTTTCCATCCTGCACGCCTGGGTCCCTAGCCTGTTCCCACCTCTCGCTGGCCATCCCCTTTCTCTCCAGGCCTTCATCTCCCCGCGTGCCCTCTCTCACAGGTCCTCACTCACTCCTCAGCAATCTCACTTTCCTAGGTGGCGGAGGAAGAATACCTGCTACAGGAGCTGCGGAAGATTGAGGCTCGAAAGAAGGAACGAGAAAAGCGGAGTCAGGACCTGCAGAAGCTAATAACAGCAGCAGACACCACTGCAGAGCAGCGGCGCACTGAGCGCAAGGCCCCCAAAAAGAAACTGCCCCAGAAAAAGGAGGCCGAGAAGCCGGTGCGAGGCTAAGTCTGCCTAGGCACAGAGCAGCAGGGTCTCCTGGAACATGACTCCCCAATGTGGAGGGCTGTGAGAACCAGAGCTAGTGGGGTGCTGGGACTAAGATTGTGCCCACTCCCTCTGACCTCTTGGTCCCCATCATTCCTTCAACCCCAGGCTGTACCTGAGACCGCAGGCATCAAGTTTCCAGACTTCAAGTCTGCAGGTGTCACACTGCGGAGCCAGCGGGTATGTGAAACACCCCTTTAATGTATTTAGACCTTGGGGTCTGAATGGATGGGATGCTGCAGGTTTGTGGGACTGAAACAATAGGAGAGGGTCACCAGGATCTTGGGGGTATGACCAGACTGAAGTCACAGCTTTCATTATAATCTGTTCTTTAGCTGTTTTCCTCTCCCAGCCTTAACTGATTCCACAGTTTGTCTTCTCTCTTCGTACCACCTCAGAAGACCTTTAGTCTTCTTTATTCTGAGGCTCTTGGGATGGGGAGGGAAGAGGGCTTAGCTGTCTGGGTCATTGCAGATGAAGCTACCCAGCTCTGTGGGACAGAAGAAGATCAAGGCCCTGGAGCAAATGCTGCTGGAGCTTGGTGTAGGTGAGTGTTGGGGCTGGTCACAGGATGCACCCACCTGAGGCCATGGATGAATCCTGGGTAAGGGGAGGGGCAGGCCACGTTGTGAACCTTTGGCCACGCCCCATGTACTATTCATCCACCCACCTACAGAGCTAAGCCCGACACCCACAGAGGAGTTAGTCCATATGTTCAATGAGCTGCGAAGTGACTTGGTGTTGCTCTATGAGCTCAAGCAGGCCTGTGCCAACTGCGAGTACGAGCTTCAGATGCTGCGACACCGTCATGAGGCACTAGCCCGAGCTGGTGTGCTGGGGGGTCCTGCCACCCCAGCTTCAGGTCCAGCCCCAGCGTCTGCTGAACCACTGGTTTCTGAACCCGGTCCTGGCCCAGACCCCACCAAGGACACAATCATTGATGTGGTGGGTGCACCCCTTACACCCAATTCGGTAAGTGTTTGGACAGGCTGAGAGAACATGCACTGGCCTGCCTGTGAGTAATGCACACATTCTGCTCCGCATAGTGCATGAACAGGAATCATTCCCACCATGGGCTTCTGAGACTAAGGGTTGGAATGGGCAGAACAGTGGACATCACCTTCCCTGAGAGTGTGAAGTAGACATGCCAGGTTACTCCGAGGCCATGGGGCCACTGACCTCAGCATCTTCTGTGTCTCTTTAGAGGAAGCGACGGGAATCGGCCTCCAGTTCATCTTCTGTGAAGAAAGCCAAGAAGCCGTAAGAGGCCACACAGGGTGTGGATGTTGCTGTTGTGTAAATAGAGCTGTTAACTTATTACTGGGTTGCTTGCTTTTCCTTCCCACCACTTCAGGTGCCTGTGACTGGGCAGGGGAGGGCCAGGAGGGGATCACCATACCTACTCAGGGTTTGCCTGCACTGAGACCCTTAGCAGTCTTTTTGTTGTGAGCCGCCATCAAATTGGCTCCTATGCATGGTCTATTAGCTGAGAATCACACTCCACTTTCCCTGATGGAAGGTCAAAAAATTCTACCTATGCCAGTTTTGTGCAGACACTCACTGATGGCTTCATATGGTAATGGCTTCATAAAGCAGTAGCTTCGTGCTCAGCCCCTATACTCTCTATCTTGTACATATTTATTCAGTCAGGGTCTTGTGAGTACTGCAGTGATTGCCATCACACATTGATGCCCTTGTGTTTAGGGGCAGCCTGAGGCCTACTGTTAACTGCCCTTCCATTCTGACAACCTTGGGCACAAGAGCAGTGACAGACACAAGTAACTTTGCATACACACTTGGGACCTCATTTCCCCAATTTTATTCAGTGGCACATTCACAGTGGGGCTAGGGGTAGACACGAGGTGGGGCCTGATCTGTCCTGGCGCCCTGGGGGCACCACACGCCATGCACTATGGATGGGAGGGGGCACAGGAGGGGCTTGGTGGCCCCAGCAGAGCCTGTGTACTAGGGAGGAGACTGTGAGTGCCTGGGACCTCCTAGCCCAGGCCCACATGGGAAGGGCTAATACTGGGCTGAGGTTGAGGGGTGGGCTTGGCGAGGGGGTGCACAAAGTCTCTGCTCCAGAGGCCAAGTGGCCAAGCCCTTGCTCGAGGCACAAGCCCACAGGGCAGTTGGGGGACACTCTGGACGTAGATCTGTGCCACTCTCCCTTTTCCCCTCTGTAAGGGAGAAGAGGGTTCTGGGCTGGGCCAAGCAGCTACCCTGTCCTGCCCCATCCCGTCCTCGGCCAATCAGAATGGCTTAGATGTCTGCTTGAAGATGAAACCTCGATAGGCAAGTGTCTTCATGATGTTGGCAATGTTTTTGCAGTCATCTAAAGAGAGAGTGAGAAGGCAGTTAGATGGGCCCTGCACTCCTCCCCTCCATGCCTCCATGGTACATGCCTACATGGGTGACAGGGAGGAGGCAGTCAGATTCTGGGGCCACAGGGTCAAGGGAGGAGAGGCCGTCCCCTGATGGGAGCACTTCCAGCTTCAGGTTGGGCTGGGCAGGAAGCTTGGTCTTGATGCTTCTCAGTTCCATAATTCATGCTGGAAATTGGCCAGTGTGTCCCGCCCCAGCCCCAGCGGTGATGTATGGGCGCCATCGCAGTAAGAAAAAGGCAGAGTAAATGTGTAATTTCTCCCTTGACGGCCCCCGGCCGCTGGGCGATCCTTCTTGTTGCCGCCGCGTGGGGACGGCCCGTCCGCCACACTCTGTCTTCCCGCCACCCGCCTTGATGTCTCCATTTCATTACTGTGCGGCCATTCATCACGCCCATGGCCAGGGTGACTTTGCCGGTACTTGCATATGTGTAGGAGATGTAGCCAAGGCCGTAATCACAGGTGACAAGGCACAAGGCTTGGCACTACTGGGCCAGTCTCCAGGAAGCACATCTGCTGTGCCCCAGGCGTGATGCACCAACAGCACCTTGCCTGGCTGCCCCCTCCCCATCACAGCCCTGCCATCAGCATCGTGTCCACCTGTCAGCCCTACCTCTGCCCGTGCTTGCATGCTTCATTCAGGAGCTAGTCTCCTTGGTTGGCCCTGTTTCTTTAATGTTGTTGGTTTGTACTTTTGGGTCAGAACTGACTGACAGCTGACTTTCCAGTGAGTTTTGAGAAGCAGTAAATTGCAGGGGAGGAGACTTCCCATTTTTCTTCCACAGAGCGGAGCTACTCCTAACCACTAACTGACCAGAGCTCCCTGTTTCTTCAATACCTCCAGTTAAATACGTCTGAGCATGTCACTGCCTTTCACAACTAGCTTCTCCCTGTGGAGAATGCCTAGCTCCAAACTATCTCCGGACTTTGGTGGCTACAAGAACAGGCACTCTGGCCCAATGGCAGACACAGTTCTGCCACCACCAGCAGGAGGTGCACCTGCACCAGAGCTTTTCCCATTCTGGTCAGCCTGTGATTGAAAAAACAACCCAGTGCCCAAGTTTTCTGTTCCTTTGCCCAGATGTGTCATCAGTTCCCTGTACCCTAACCTGTCTTTCCCACCTCCCTTAGATCCCACAAGGTCACAGATAGGGCCTCAGCCACAAAGAACCTTCATGGAATCAATGCACTGATTATAGAAATATTGTACATTGATGTCATAAGCAGGCGGCGGGGGAGTGGTCAGGTCAAGAACCAACCCCTTACACTGAGCCCCTACCTCTGATCTTGGCAGGACCTTGGACCAGGAAAGGGGACCCACTAGCTAGAAAAGGGCTGAGGGAGTAGGTAGAGGGATGAGCCCAGGGGCTTATGCCACTACCCACACCAGCTCTGCTGACCCTGGTATGGCCGGTGGGGGCTTGGGGTAAGGCCACGGAGCAAGGCAGGCAGGTCCTGCTTTGCAGAGCTCTGCACGGATGTACCTATGGTCAATGGATGCATGGAGAGGTGACCCCAGGCCCAAACACAGAGATACCTTGCTTCCCTAGGGACAAGGAAGCCATGAGGGCTGTTCTGAGGCAGAACAGTGGGAAGACAGATGAGTGGGTAGTGGCGTCCATGGCAACTCCAGACGTGACCCATCCTGTGGTTTATGGGCCGGACACGCACCCCGCTCAGCTGAGGCCTCGTCATTTGTCTCCCTTAGTGTGTATGCCTATGTGTGGGGGTGGTGGGTGGAGGGGGCTGCCACGGGAGGAGCTAAATGGCTGACAGGAAGGGGAATGGGACAGGAAGGGCTGTGCAGGAGGCAGCAGGGGTGGGATGTGATAGAAAGGCCCTTGGGAGGGGGAATGCCGTGGGGGGGTACTGTGATAAGGTGATTGTCTAAGAAGCCTGGCCTTGTCGGGGCACCTCCACTCCTTCCTGTCTCCTGCACTCTGGGGACCCTGGCCGCTGTGCATATTAAGAATAAGTCCCCTCGTTATCTGCAATTACCCAGCGGCCACACACCTCATTTCTTCCAGCAGAAAAGAAAATTAGTTTTCTATTGACTTCATCTGGCTCCTCCCTCACTGCTGGACAAATCACTCAATCTGCCTACTCTTACCCAAGTCTGTGTCCACAAAAACCCCACCCCCATCCTCAGTCTATGCAGTGGGCAAGCACTGACCTCCCACCTATGCCTGGCCTGGTGCTGGGCCCATATGTTCAAGGCTGCCCTTGACCTCTTCTCACTCTAGCCTCAGGATGACTTCATCCAAATACTTAGCTTCAGCTGCCACTGAAGACAAGCCCACTGCCTCTCCTGAGCTCCACACAAAATATCCAGATGCCTCCTGGACATTTCCAAAGTTACATACAAACTCAGCAGTCCAATACTCAACTAATTTTGTCATCCAAATTTTTTCCTATCCCTGTGTTCTCCATTGCAGTGAAGGCACTGAAAATGCCCAAACAAGAAACCTGAGAGCCTTGCTTGGCACAGTGCCCTCCAAATCAATTACTTAGTCCTGCTGATTTTATCTTTGATTATTTCTCTAGCAGCACCATCCCCAACCCCTGACCAGTACAGGCTCCATCATCTCTTGTCTGGATTACAACAACAGTCCAGTCTTTCTGTCTCTAATCCATTCTCCTGTAGCCAAAGTGATTTTACACAAATCTGATCGTGTCCTTCCCTCTTTAAGTCCCTTCAGTGGCTCCCCTTGCCCTCAGTTTAAAGTCTGTACTCTCTAATATGGCTTACAGGCCCTGCAAACCTGACTCCTGCCCTCTGATCTCACCTCTGTCGCGCTCTACATACAACTCTGTACTCTAACCTCAAAGAAACCACTTACTATTTTCTGTAAATGACTAAGTGGCTAAGGGCATGGACTTTGTTTTCTGTCTTGTCCGCCTCAATGGAGTTTGGTAAGTGCTGAGTTTCTTCAACTAGGATGATAATGGAAATTACCTCAGTGTTTCTGTGAAGATTAAATAAGATTCCCACATGTTGTTCTTTATGCTGCAATCCTTTCCTCTGCCTAAAGAGGCGAGGATGCGAGTTTTTTGGATGACTCAATGCTGACAGTGCTGCCATTAGAATATCTGTAGCTTAGATGATGGGGGTGGGGGGCAATACATGTGATGAAGCCAACTCATTCCCTCAACAAACTGACTTTGCTGTTGTGTGCTGTCACATCAGAAGAGACTCATAGCTGACTCTCCATCAGGTTTCCAGAGGCAGTAAGCAGGAGACTGCCCATATGTCTTCTGCAGAGTAATTGGTGGGTTTAAACCATGGGCATTTGGGTTGGCAGCATAATTCCTTACCACGAAGCCATCACAAATTGACTACCAATTCTCATTGTTTACTGGGGATTCTTAACTTGTTGCATTGCAGCTGGTCCATTAAAAAATTAAGAGTGAGAAAAAAACGTGCTTTCTTTATCTGGCTGATCAGTGGTGTAGCAGTTATGAACTCCAGCCTAGGGCTCTTTTCAAGCCTTTGAATCCTTAATAAGGATCACTGAAAACCACTGACCAGTTTTAAAAGTGGATGACTGAAAATGCGGAAACATGGCAAAAAGAAACACTAGAGACAGATCTGGAGCTCAGAATACAAAGCTATAGCAGCAGGGTAAGTCAAATGATAATGAGTCCCCTCAGAATTCTCTTTTTGAAGCCTAGGCCACCTGGGCTAGTAATTCCTCTTTTAGCTTTTCTCACTGAACTCACTGAGGCTGGTCTGAAGTTGTATGAGATAGGTAAAGAATGGGGTCAGATACAATCTTGGGCCCACAATGTCAGTAGGTCTTTTTTAAATTATTGAGAAGCAGTGAAGCCAGTTTGAGGACTAAGGTGTGTGTGATCCAGGACATGGTCTTTTCAGTCACTCACTATGTATCGGAGAGCTAGATAATAAATATGGGTGATGGAAGAATTGATGCGTTGAGCGATGGTGTTGGAGAAGAATATGGAATATCCCATGGACTGATAAAAGAGCCAATAGGTATGTCTTGAAGATGCAGCCAGAGTGCTCCTTGGAGGCAAAGAGAATAAAGTCTTGTCTCACATACTTCAGGCATGTTGCTGGGAGAGGGTATTCCTCAGAGAGGGGCATCATTCTTGGGAAAGTGGAAGGTGGGCAAAAGAGAGGAAGGCCATCATCCAGATGGATTGACAGTGATTGCAGCAGTGGCTCAAGTGTATCAGAGATTGTGAGGACGACACAGGATAGGACAAGTTCAGATCTGTTTATAGGGTCAGTATGATTCGTATTTGACAGCACCTAACAACAACCACCTGTTTTCGCAGGCTTATGAACTTGTATGACAGTACCTTCCTTGTTCTTTTGGCTTTAATATTCTTAAGGTTGTGGGAAGAGAGCAGCTGCGTAAATGCCTCAGAGAGAAGGTGATTAGGGGGCTGGCACCTAACCATGAAGGGTAAACTCATTAGTTGGGTAACAAGGGTAGTCAAATGTCTGCTTGATGTGAAAGGGCTGCTAGTGGATGGGTAGTTCAGATGTCTTAAGATACCCAGTGAGATTCATAGAGGAGAATAACCTGACACCAACATGCTCCAGCCACATAGCCTCACCTGACTGAGAAGTGAAGGGCAAAGGACAAGGCCCAAGGCAAGAAGACTTTCAGGGTCATGCGTTCACCCAGTCAGCAAACATTTACTGCCACTTCTGTGTGCCAGGTGCACAGTGGCAATGTCAGGTCACAAAGTGTGCAAGACATCGTGCCCTTCAGAAGCCTGCCTATAAAGTGGTACCACATGAGAAGTACTAGAAGCTGAGAAGCCACAGAAACGTCACCTACTTCAGCTGAGCATCAGGAAAGGATTCTTTTTTAAAAGTTAGGAAACTGACTTCTAATGCAGGAAGGAGTTAGGCAGGCATGGTGGGGCTGAGGTGAGGGAGAAGCAGTTCTCCACGTAATGAACAATATTGGCAGATTTC